AAACAAAAAACATAACTCTGATAATGTAAGCACTGTCCTTGAAGTTGATTGGTCCACACCCGAGACAGCTTTCCTTAGAGCCTAGTCTCACATAGGTTGGACCAGATGACGCCAAAAGGCACACAACTCAAAGACAATGCACCATCAGAGTATGAGAGCTCGGGGTAAGCATTTACACCATTGGAACCTCATTTGCCAGTAAAAAATATGATAATTGTTTTTTTACCCTTCTATCTGGCAACAAAACTGACACCTTTTTTTATTATCATATTTTACTGGCAAAAGAGGTTCCAATGGTGCAAAACGCTACGAGTTAACTACATTCTTAATTCAAGTAAAACATATTTACACTGAATCATACAATATTAGCAAAAGTTTTGCTGGCTGGCTGGCTGCCTGGCTATCAGGTGCGGTTGGTTCAGGTCCTGCGAGCTGCTAGTGAAATAAAATAAATAAAAAATACCGAAAGAAACAATAAAAAAAACTGCAATAATCGTGACCTTACGAACCCATCCTGGTCAAGGAAAGTTATTATTCTAAGCAACAAAAAAAACATCACACCACCGTCTCTGGAGAAACAAAAAAAAATTACAAAAATAAAAAACGTAACTTTTTCAGCGAACCCCCATCCGCCACCACCACCACCACCCAAACGAGATATAAATATAACACGCGACTAGAACAAACACCACGAGGAAGAAAACGTGGCCATGCACATCCACCGGGACAAGCGCCGTCGACTTGCTCGAGTCAGGACGAGGTCAGTGTCAAACAAATCGGAGATCCCAGCGGAAGGAACAATCGAACGCACGTAATAATAATAATAATAACAGTCGTGTTTTATTTACCCAGGAAGAAAAAAAATCTCACTTCTGTGACTCTCAAGACGTATGCACACAAGAAATCCTGCGCGGAGATGTCTGGCTGAATCTATTAGTTTTGTTTTGTCTGAGTGCGTCAGGGAGACAAAGGCGGCCGGGCGTGGTTCTGGCCACCTACGGCCACCCGATTGGCACGGCCGGCTACGTACGGTGCGAAAGAAGTTCAACATGCGTGTGCTCGCTAACGGCACTCGCCCCAAAAGTCTGCTAAGGCTACGCGGGGCAGTGGAGCTTTGTCTTTGTGAGCGTGCTGATGATGATGATGATGACGGAGGAGATGGACTAACGAATATCTCGCATGCGCGCAAAGAACCCACGCGCACTCGCCGATGGGATTAGCAAAACGTTGCCGAGTAGTCAAGCGACGGCATTCGCCCCCCGCCGGCCCCGTGAATAACGTCGCGACAACGTTTGGCGAGTTACGCTGCGCGCACGGCACCGCGTTACTGTATCACTCCGCGTCGTCACGCTTAGCCGCACAGCTCAAGAAAGTAGTTCGTCGTCGACCGCTTTAGAAGCCGCGTTATAACGGAGCGCGTTCCGCGTTATAGCGGTACACGTTCCGCAACAACAACACAATTTTACATACTTTAGCCCCTTAGGATTAGTTATAATTTGTAATTTTAGTATAGTTAGACTGTATACCACTTATTTAAGTTTTAAGATTCCTACGTGTTGAATGTATGCACCTTCCGGCCATAGTAAATTCCTTGTCTGTGCAAACTTTCATGGCGAATAAAACCCATTCTGATTCTGTTATAACGGCGTTCCGCGCTGTGGGAAAAGCGTTCCCCGAATGGTCAGAGCCGCGCTCCAGCGCCAATACCGCCACGCGTCAAGCGAGGACTGACCGCGTACGCGCGTCCAAAAGAGGGAATCGTGGCCGTCTTGAGAAAGGGTCGCGAGGCCACGGGCCGCACGCGTCGCTGGAAGAGGGGGGCACGGGGGGTGCGGTGATGGTCGATGGGCAAAGCGTAACAACGGAACGGCAGCTAAAGGTCGGTGGGGGTGGGGGAAGGGGGTGACCACGAACCGTCGGGACCACACTCGCGCGGAGATGAAGCTCGTTTGCAGGATGCCGGGTAGATGGTTGCATCGTTTGGGACCCTGAGATGTGGCGGGCGACTTTTTTGTGCAAGCGTTCATTCAGCAGTAGATTGACCGTGGTTAATTGGTAATGCCGCCAATGACGATGATCAGAATCAGAATTTGTGTTTATACCGGAGGAGGAATCCGATGAGCTGTAAAGCTCTTTTCCACAGATGTCCAGTCGAGGCGGGTAATACCTTTACAACAACAAACAACACAAAAACAGAAAGTACAAGAAAGGTAAACAAACCACCCCAAACACAAACTAAACCATCCCCATCCCACCAGGCAAAGCCCACTTGAGCTATTCACTTATCTTGCAGAAGCGACCTGGCCACCAATGAGAGCTCAACAAAGCGGCTTATCACGTGGAAATGCAGAACAGCAAAATCATCTAAAATGATTTCAATCCGTGATGATGATGAGATGGTGGTGGTGGATATGGCCTGGGCAAGGGGAGAATCCGTGCACAGCCGAGAACCTCCTTGTGGCTCCAACACAGAGGGAGTAAAGCCTCTCGCGACCCAATGACGATTCGTAAATAATTTCAATCAATATCGATCGCGATCGATCACTATCGATCGCTTCCCCACCCCCCGCCCCCCACAGAATCGGGTCACAAGGGCAGCGACTCCGACAAACGCCCTCCACCCTGCCCTGCCCTCCCGCCAGCGGCGTCGGCCGTGGCTCTCAGAGCCACAGTTTGAAAGGCTCCAGGTAGCCGAGAGAAAGCATTTGTTGTGTGTCTGTCTGTGTGCGTGGTACACACAACAAAGATAAAGACAAAGACCCCCTGTATAGCCTGTAACAGACTGTAGGGGCAAGTGCTGCTAGCGAGCACCTATGAAGGCCGGAACGGTACACGAGGGGGTGGGGTGGCCAGCACCACGCCCGACCGCCTTTGTCTCCCCAGTGGCGATGTTTACACACCGCACCAGGTACTCATTTGAGGCTGAGTCAACCTAGGGGAGGCCCAGGACCGGTTCAGATAATCGTCACTGGGTGTTGGCCGTGAGCGGGAATCGAACCCGAGTCGCCAGGTTCATAGCGCAGCATAGCGCTAACCGCTACACCACCGCTCCCTCCACCCGTAACGCAGCCGATGAATTGAGTTGTCACGCGATAGAACGGGCGTGTGTGCTGCTGCTGCTGTTGTTGTTTGTGAAGAGCGATCCACAGCAACGTGCAACGTTCGCGTGCGGACGCTGCGCGGGTTAGTTGCCAGAATTGGCAATTCCTGCAACTGCCTGATGATGCTGCTGGTTTGGCACTATCAGCGAAACGTCGGACTACCACCACCCCCCCCCTATTGTTAAATGTCGCGAGACTGCTCTCCGACATAAGCGGTAGGGTGCTGCTGCTGCTCAAGCAGCAATAGATCGGACACGTTTGTTGCACGCGAGGAGACTTCATTAATTAGTCGTGTCGGGTGGAGGAGGGAGTACGACACACAACATTTTTTTTTGGTACTTACTGCGATCTGATGCACACACACACACAAAAAAATCAAACGACGAGTCGTCGTTGTTGTTGACTAACAAATTCTTAAACTTGATTTGGAGCTTTCGTGACTGCAGGAATTACTCTTTGGTTCTTTCGGTAAAGTCATTATTTTCTCTTTCTGCGTGACTTTACCGCATTAACCAAAGAGTAACACATTCTTCTTTCGTTTTCATCATCATCATCTTCTTCTTCTTGCGTTGTCCGGCGGTATCTTTGTGTAATGAACACAACAACAATACGTGATTTACAGTCTGCGGGGGCTCAAAGGCACTCGTGAGAAGATTGAGTGGTTGATGAGAAGGTGTCCATCAAACGAACTCGATCTCGAGACCTCGGAGCGAATCAAAGGCTCTGGTATTGACAACAACAACAACATCCCTAGTCTCTGGGAATATGATTGTGGTTATGTGGGGCCTGGGATGCGCGCGTGCGTGTGTGCGTGTGTATGCGTGTGTGTGCCTGCGTGTGCATGCGTGTGTGTGCCTGCGTGTGTGTGTTTGTGCGTGTCTGCGTGTGTGTGCGTGTGTGTGCGTGTGTGCGCGTGCGTGCGTATGTGTGCGTGTGTGTCTGCGTGTGTTTGCGTGTGTGTGCCTGCGTGTGCATGCGTGTGTGTGCCTGCGTGTGTGTGTGCGTGTGTGTCTGCGTGTGTGTGTGTGCCTGCGGGTGTGCGCGTGTGTGCCTGCGTGTGTGCGTGTGTGTGCGTGTGTGCGTGTGTGTGCGTGTGTGTGTGTGTAATGGGGGAGCGGTGGTGTAATGGGTAGCACTGCGCTGCGCTACGAACTCGGCGACCCGAGTTCGATTCCCGCTCACGGCCAACACCGGTGACGGATTATCTGAACCGGTCCTGGTCCTCCCCTAGGTCAACTCAGCATCAAATGAGTGCCCGGTGCGGTGTGAGACAAAGGCGGTTAGGCGTGGTGCTGGCCACCCACCCCCTCATGTGCCGTGCCGGCCTTCATAGGTGCTCGCTAAGAGCACTTGCCCCAAAAGTCCGTTGAAGCTACACGGGGTATCTTTGCCTTGCTTTGTAATGTGTGGGTTTTGATTTCTTGGCGCCGTGGTTTATGCAACGCTCCACTCCCAGTTTAAAGCACCTGGGTTTGATTCTGGGCCGTGATGCAAACCATAAATCAACCAGCAGCTGCTGGTTGGCGATGCGGAGTCGGCCTGGATCGTTCTCCCCTAGGTCGACGCAGCCCAAAAAAGAAACCGGCTTGCCAGGTGCGGTAGTTTCGTTCGTTTTTATTGTCAATTCAATTATTTCCCTTGCGTAACCCCCCCCCCCCCCCGTGAGATGAACAACATCTCTCGTGTTTGCAAGAGTTCACCAGGGTGTCAAGTGACGCGTATTGTACACAGCAAAAGACAAAGATCCCCCGTATAGCCTCAATCAGACGGTCGTGGCAAATGCTGTTAGCGAATAGCCTATAAAGACCGGAACAGCACAACGCTACGAACCCGACCAGCCGAGTTCGATTCCCGTTCACGGCCAACACAGGTGACAATTATCTGAACCGGTCCTGGGCCTCCCCTGGGTCGACTCAGCCTCAAATGGGTACCTGGTGCGATGTGTAAACATCGCCACTGGGGAGACAAAGGCGGCCGGGCGTGGTGCTGGCCACCCACCCCCTCGTGTGCCGTGTCAGCCTTCATAGGTGCTGCTCGCTAACAGCCACTTGCCCTGACAGTGGAAGCGGCAAGCGCCACGCCCCGGCCGCCTTTGTCTCATATACGCACACCGCTTTATTTGAGGCCGAGTCGACCTTGGAGAGGCCCAGGACCGGTTCAGATCAACGTCACTGGTGTTGGACCCGCGAGCGGGAATCGGGAATGGGAATCAGGTATCCCCCCGGCAGCGCAGCGCTAACCCGCCAACGCGACCGCTCCCCACACACATCGCGAACAGACGCTCATTTCTCCTTTTTTAAATCCTTTATATTAAGTTTACTTGCTTGCTTGCTTGCGCGCTTACCACCGTGCAAATCTTTCGGTCGTTTTTTTAACCCACTTCCCGTGATCCAATCGAGCTGACATTTTGCACACAGACTCGTTGTGCGTGACAATTTATTTTCGTGAATTTTTTTTTCCATAATTTGACACTTTTTAGGGGAATTGTTTTTATATTTAATTACCAATTGCTTAATGCTGGCAGACAATCATCTGACCCATAGGTGGCAGCCATCTCAAGCCAGAGGACGAGAGGACTCTAGCCGCCCGTTTCAAAGACCAATGTGGGCTGGGTTGTGGCCCATTGAACACGCATATAAAGGATTTATAGTGAAAAACTTTGTTTTTACGGGTTAATTTTTTTAAATCTCCAACTCACACAGCACGAGGCTGCACAACGTCGGACGCATCTGCACTATCCCTGAGGGCAGCGACGGCCGACGAAGAGCCCCTGAACAGCGCCCGGTTGCGGCTGTCAACACGAGCGCCGGAGAAACAAAGACGGACGGGCACGCGTACACGCATGGCGCCGGTCCATCCCATCTCCGGTCACACGGTGATGCCTCTTTGCCCGCGCTGTGACCTTAATAGGCGCTCGCTAACAACAACAGCAGCGGCAGCAGCAACATTGCACCCACAGTCTAAAGGGTAAGTGGGAAGGATTGCAAGAGGGTGCGGTTTGTCTTTAGATCTTCAGATGTTTAGCTGCGGGGGCCCTGACTTGAGACAGACTTGAGTGTTGTGGGCACGAGGGGGGGGGCGAGTGGAGAAAGGTTGTTGGGGAGGCAGGAGGGGGGGAGATCGCAGCAATTTTAATTTAAAAAAACCACAGAAATACATTTCCAACCCCTCCCTTACCCGCCCGTGACCTCAACCTTAATCTGCATGCGGTGGAGCACACAGAGCGAAGTATTGTCTTACTCGCGACCACTTCGCCTTTGAACAACAGCTGTTCTCAATTGTGGTCGGGTCGTTTTAAAAGCGCAGCAGGTAACAAGGGTTGCGAGACGCGGCGGCGGTCGGTGGTGGTGGTGGGACTCGGGGCCTGCGTGGGGCGAAGGGTTCTTGACCCCCGTCTCTGACCGCGCGTGTCGCGAAATGAGACGCAGGGAAGAAGCGAGGGCAGAGGAGGGAAGGAGGTGCGCGGTGATGGTGGTGGTGATGGTGATGATGGTGATGGTGGTGGTGATGATGGTGGTGGTGATGGTGGTGATGGTGGTGTTGATGATGGTGGTGGTGATGATGGTGGTGATGGTGGTGGTGGTGATGGTGGTGATGATGGTGGTGGTGGTGGTGATGCTGGTGGTGGTGGTGGTGATGGTGGTGGTGATGGTGGTGATGGTGGTGATGATGGTGATGGTGGTGATGGTGATGATGGTGGTGATGGTGGTGATGATGGTGGTGATGGTGGTGATGATGGTGGTGGTGATGATGGTGGTGATGGTGGTGGTGATGGTGGTGGTGGTGGTGGTGATGGTGGTGGTGATGGTGGTGGTGATGGTGGTGTGACAGGTTTTAATAATGTCCAGCCGCGAAGCGACACGATTTCTCGTGAGGATATCGGTGGGAATTCCACGTTTATATGGCGGGGATGAGTCTCTCCATGATGCAACGACTGCCGACTTCCCCACAAAGCGGCACCCATTGTATCGACCCCCGGATATATGATGGGCTGAGTCAATCTCCTAACCAGGATTTGAACTCGCAACCTTCAGATTGCGAGCCGCTCGCTCACTCGCTCGGCTTTACCATGGAGCCACCTGGCCAGATGATCATCATCATCATCAATCCACTGCTGGATGGAGGCCTCCTCAATCCGCCGCCTCCTCTCGCGATCGATCCTGCAATGTGCGATATTCCACAGTGCACTTGCACGTGGACAGATTCCATCGCTCCATCTCGTCTCGGTGGACGTGCTCTCGGATGCGTTCCGTCCCGTGGTTCAAACGCACGTGCGTCAGAGGGGAATATCACGAAACCCATGGAATGTTCCATTCACTTTCCTTTCATGTTGTCTAGGACTCTTAACAGTGCAGATTATACACCATTACAGCCTATTTACTAATATCATTTGGCATCTTCATGGGCTTATTTTTTATTTTATTTCGGGTGCATTATGGGTTGGCTTGCCATCTTTACACCACACAAACACAGCCAGACGTAAATCTCAGCCAGCCGAGGTCTATCAAAGCCACGCGCGGCGCTCGAAGTTAAAGTTCCACACAATGCCACGAGAGATTCTCGGCGCACGACGATTTACCGTCACGCCCCGAACGCAGGTGGTCGATACCCTGGACTGTCCGCGTCAAAACCTGGACAGGTGGCAACCCTCAGGACGAACGGCGTCACGAGTTGATACTCCGACTGATGCTCCTACTGTTGTGGAGTGACTCATGCAGCCAGCTATGGCTGCAGAGTTTGGTAGTACATGTTGTTGACGTCGTTTATTGTGAAAATTCGGTCACAGTTCCTATGACCATTGTTTCATTGCTTTTATGGCTTTATCTTGGTGATTTTCGAAAAGTTTTTTGGTTTGGCCATGTTTGTTGGTTGTAGTACAGAGTTAGACCGATGGCCTTAATCTAAGTTGTCTTGTGGTTGTTGTTGTTTGACTTGCACCCAACTGGGATATTTGCACAGGGTTGGTGTACGGTGATTTTTCTGCAATATTTTGCTGTCTTTTCTTGGATTTTCTGTTTGCACTCAGTCACATAGTCACTTTAAGATGTTTTCTTGTTCATGTTTTTGTTTTTTGTTTGTTGCGGTTGCGGTTGCACCCGATTCAAGAGCCGAATGGCTCACAGGGCTATACCTAATAAATGAACTTTGAACTTTGAACGAGCACAGGACGACGGATCCATGTGGCAACGTCGATGGTCACGGCAGTTGAGCCTCGACGTTTTAGTTCACAGAGCTGGAACTGAGTCAACTTAAGAGGCAACAACTAACACGAGGGGGTGTTGTTGTTTGTTTGTGTGTGTGGGGGGGTCACTGGAAACCAGGCTGAGATGATCAACGTGGCCTAGAGGTCGCAATCGGGTACCCGATACCCGTAACCTACCCGTACCCAGCCGGGTACGGGTACCCGTTTTCGACCCTGGTGCGGCCGGGTACGGGTACGGGTAGACCGTGAGTCATTGGTGAGTCACCGCTTGTCACTCATTTCCCAACGTCTTGTCTCTTCTCACAATTCAAGTTCCTAGAATCAACCCACCGCGCCTGCAACATGGCTTCATCCCAGAGGTCGCAATCGGGTACCCGATACCCGTAGCCGGGTATCAGGTAGGGTACGGGTACCTGTTTGCGACCCTGGTGCGACCGGGTACGGGTAAGGAATCAAAACCCGTTTGCGACCTCTGACGTGGCCCCATGTGAGAATCCCACAGTAACCTCGGGTGGCCGAAACCTCGATTCCAATGTGGAACCTGCGTGGCTGGTATCAGCTCGGCGTTCTCACCCCCCGAATGAATATATGTTGAACCTCTTTCGCACCGTACGTAGCCAACCGCGCCCATCGGAGGTGCCGGGGGAAGCACAACAATCAGTTTAACACGTGCACTTTCGCCAAACGACGCGGTCAGATTGTAAATGTTGTGGATTTGCTCTCCGACACACCGGTGTGCTGTACTCGGAACGAATTGCCACGTTCTGTTTACGTGACAACCCTTACTAATTGGCTGTGTAGGGTGGTGGCGGGTTTGACGACACATTTATACTTACGCGATCTAACCCAAACCCCTATATTAAGGACACTGTATGCTCAACTTCTTTCGCACCGTACGCGGCCAACCGCGCTAATTGGAGGTGCCGCGTGGAAGTTCAACAATGTGTGTTGAACTTCTTCTGCGCCGTACGCGGCCAACCGCGCTAATCGGAGGGGTAAGAACAAATCGAAAACACAAAAATCAGCTCTAAACAAAATTCGTTTTCAATCCACCCGGCCACATTTCACGATGGGTTTAAAGCAAATCTCACACTGGGCACACATTGTGGCACGCGACCGGTACCGATACAGAGGCACGCGACCAGAAACTCATTCATAGGTATGGGCGGGAAGGCTTGGATGTTGCTCAACTTTAAGAGGTGTTATTATTTTCAGGGCCCTATAAGGGGGGGGGGGGCGGGGGGAGGGGGATGGTCCTCTAACAGTGAAATCAAAATAAACAGCCACGACTGTGGACCAGGCGCCCCGTGAAGGAATTTCTGCTGTCTTCAAAGGACAAAGAAAATAAGTTCAATGCAACTGTTGATGATGTTGGGGGGGGGGGGTTGAGCAGCACACACACACACAAGCGCCACGTGTGCGAAAAGGCGCACACGCACGCGACCGTGCAGACCGAATGTCGGAGCTTCTCCCACGCTGATGGTGGTGGAGATGCTTTATTTCCCCGAGCCAGGGCCAACGTATCGGGCACATGGGCCAGCATCATGCTTAGCCCGGCCAATGTACACGAGTCAAACTCCCCGGCCACCACGCGGTCTAGCCTGCAGCAGATTGTTGAGGCAAGGGTTGTTACCGAGCAGCACCTATGAAGGCCCGCACGGCACACCAGGGGGTTGGTGGGTGGCCAGCACCACGCCCGGCCGCCTTTGTCTCCCTATCGGTGATGTTTACACATTGCACCAGGTACTCATTTGAGGCCGAGTCGACCTAGGGGAGGCCCAGTTCAAATAATCGTCACAGATGGTGTATGTTAAACTTATTTTGCACGGTATGTGGCCAACCGAGCACGATCAGAGGTGCGGGGGAAGAACTCAACACAAAGCGCAGTTTTCAAACTAGATAGCTCCAATGGCCGCCTAATATCGCAAGGAAGAGCGTTCCAGACGGCCGCAGAAGCAAATCTGAAAGCGCCGCGCGATGCAGTGGCCGTCTTTGTGCAAAAGGTGGCCGTGAGCGGGAATCGAACTTTTGGGTAGCCAGATTTGTAGCGCACACAACCACCACGCCGCTTGTGCCAGGCTAGGTGCACTTTGAAGCCACGTCAAGTGTCGAAGGCTTGCTGGCATACACGGACACAATCTACAACCGTGCACATTGAAAGTCAGAGAGCCATTGTCTCTCCGCTTACGGAGGTTGGTCCTGTCCAAGCTGGCGGGCGGAGTTGGCTCCTCTGTTGAGGATGAGTTGAGCGACATGAGGCCATCCATTCAGTACGTACGCGTGGAGGGGGGAGGAAGGGGTTAACCCAAATGTGTACGCTTGCGTACAGGGGGTCTAGTGACAATGTCCGTACGCATAGGAAACGTTAGATGGTCCGGCGGTGGACTATCTGCTTGCTTAAACACGTTACTATTATTAATCCTTGATCGTTTCTGCGTGGATTAAATATCGGCCGTTCTATAGAATTCGGGAGGGGGGGCTGCGTCAGGCGTACGTACGCAGGTGTGGGGGGGGGGGGTGTAAATAGTACGCGTGCGTACAGGGAGGGGGGGGGTAGAGGTCAAGTTTTGACAGTTTTTTGAGGACGTACTCAATGGATGGCCCCTATTGGAGACCGGGCCAGGCTGAGAGGCGCCTTGCCACGTGGGCCAGGGATTGAATGAAGCATCACTGCGGCCCTCTGGGATCAGTTCCCCGACGAGAGGAAGGCAATCGGCTGAACGCCGGGCCGCTCCGCGAGGACTCATCTTGTTCTGACGGCAGCAGCAACGGGGATTTTAATTTGCTCAAAAGAAACAAGTTGCAACAATAACAATAAAACATTCCAAACTGTTACCACCGACATTTAAAATGGTGTTTATTATTAATCTTGAGTTTTGTTTGTTTGTTAAATGCACAGCCCCAATATACTCCACGTTGTATATCAAAAGCAGGGTATAGAATTCAAGTTTGACGAGCAGTGCTTAATGCGTGTGCAGTTACAATGGTAAGCATAAATAATAATACTGTTCAAAACTAATTTCTTCAGAACCGATTTTTTTGTGTTTCGTTTGTTGCCCTTTCCCCGGGACCTCCCGATTAGCACGGTTGGCTACGTATGGTGCGAGAGAAGTTCCAACACGCGTGCACACATCAATAGAACGATCGTTGACTTAATCATGAGTGCACGCAATGCTGCTGGGAATACGACTGCTTGTGATGACGGTGAGGAGAGAATAGTCATCGCCAGTCGGAAGGATTCCCACCTGTCCCGAACGGCTCAAGCAAGAACCCACAGACCCACCCTCCAAGGGAGGTCCGGCAGCGATGTTAGTACACAACGCAACGTGCATCGCCTACGCACCCGACGCCATCACACCTTCTTGGAAGCTTAAACAGATTTGGGCCTGCGGAGTGCTTGTATAGGCGACCAGGAAGCTGAAAAAACAGGAGCCAGGGCAGCTAAATACTTTGAATAGATCTGCCTCCGTTTCCTTCGGGACAGTTTTGAACGACGCGCCAGCCCGGGATTGTTGCTGTCAAGTCTAGATTATTCTTGTTGTTGTTGCAAATATGGAGAAGAAACCCGCCGTGTGCGGTGAGCGCAGATAAAATATAAAATGCGAGCGTGAAGCATTTAAGAGAAGCCCAATTTGATGACCTCTTTTGGAATGGAGAGCTTGGCCTCAACACGAGGGTGACTGAGCAATGTGTCCTCGTCAAGATAACCGCAATGGCTTGGAGGTCTTCAATCCTGCTGCTGACGATGTAATCGAGAATAAACAAAGGATTTAAAGCTTTCGTGACTGCAGGGATTCATCTTCTTGGTTCTTTCGGTAAAGTCACGTAGAAGGAAAATAATAAAATAATAAAACATAATAAAATAATTCTCACGACGTTTCGGCCACAACGCAACCAGCGACTATTTAAAGTCGCTCCAAGCCTGGAGCATGCCATTCAGACTCTGTCTACTTGACAGACCTGTTCTCCACCTGAAGACGGCTGCTTGCGTTGTGGCCGAAACGTCGTGAGAATTATTTTATGTTTTATTTTTATTATTTTCCTTCTACGTGACTTTACCGAAAGAACCAAGAAGAAAAAACCAAGGAGCCGAGCCAAACGGTCCCCGTGCTCAAACGAGCGATTCAAAACGGCGCTCACCGCTGCTCTGCTGGTGGTCCTGGAGCCAATGGTGGAAATTCCACGTTCTCGCGGAAGGGAGCGAGTCTATCCACAGGATGACCACACGGGGGGGGGGGGGAGGGAGGATTGATCACAAAGTGGTGCTCAACGATTCGAACGGTCCAAGGGATCAACGCCCGAGTCGGCGTTCCACTCGGAATTCAGTCCGCAGCAACCGCAATAAGTGCAGATCCAAGATTTGGAGAAAAAAAAAATCGCGAAAAACTAAAACAAGTGGTTGTTTACACCCAGAGATTACTTCTGTTTCGAGGCCTGTCCTGAACTGACCGGACGAGAAAAAGTCTTTTGTAGACATTGTCGAATTTCACCTGCCTCTGCGAGTGTTGTTGTTTGGAAGGTGTCGCCAGGAGACGTGTCTGTGTGTGAAGGGCAGCAGAAATGGGGAGCGGTGGTGCAGCGGTTAGCGCTACGCCGCGCTACGAATCCGGTGACCCGAGTTCGATTTCCGCTCACGGACAACACTGGTGATGATTATCCGAATCGGTCCTGGACCTCTCCTAGGTCGACTCAGCCTAACACGAGTACCTGGGTGCAGTGTGTAAACATCGGCACTTGGGTGACAAAGGCGGTCGGGCGTGGTGCTGGCCACCCACCCCTTCATGCGCCGTGCCGGCCTTCATAGGTGCTCGCTAACAGCACTTGCCCCAACAGTCTGTTCAGGCTATAGGGGGGTCTTTGTGAAAGGCAGCAGCGGTGCTGTGACCCACCACACGCCGATGCACCATTTCCCAAAAGCCTCGCGATGATGAATCCTCCTCGTTAAAGTCCATAAATAAGCCCTTACACGTTGCATTCGCCCGATGGATGGGGTTTAAACGCGCCTCTCCCGATGCGATGGTAGGAGAGCACCGATTCAAATGATGATGATGTCAACTTCAATCGACGCTCTCTTACGGCACCACACAGGGTGCACGCGTGTGCGCGCACACGCTTTACAACACACATGACGCTAGTTGAAGAGCCGGAGACCTCTACGTCACGTGGCACATGTATGCATGGCACGTGTATGTACACGATGGGGATGTGCGCTCCGGATTTTGGGATCAATCCGATAAAAAAGAACAGGGGGCCGAGATATGAAAATTTAGGACAATCTGAACGTTTTCATTTTCATTGATTACGAATGTGACTGTACAAGATTGGAGTCCTCGTGGTCCCAGGCGATGTCACGATTGTTATCGATTGTTATTGACGTCAATTGTTATAGACAACAATTGTTATAGATAACAATTGTTATAGATAACAATTGTTATCTATAACAATTGTTATAGATATCAATTGTTATAGATATCAATTGTTATAGATAACAATTGTTATAGATAACAATTGTTATCTATAACAATTTATATCTATAACAATGATCGATTGTTATCTCAGATTGTTATCGCGAAGACCTTTCACATTTGTACGTAACGTCAACGATCCGAACATCCAAAAATCTGAACACGATAAAAAAAGTCCTTCAAAATCAAAAAAATACATACGAATTCTTATATACTTTTTTCTCGTAAAATTAAAAACTCATCCCTCGTACACACGTGCACAAACCGCACACAAGGCTTCCTCAATTTGAATGAGTTCCCTCCGCGTGGCGTGGGGACATGTTAAACTAATCATCAGGCGTGTGCCGCATGTAATAACCTAATTCAGAATAACTTAATTTGTGTTTCAATGCACCGCGGTGGGGGTTGAGAGCACTGAAGGTTGGGAAATCACATGCACCAATGAACCTAACTTGGATTTCCTAACAGATTGTGTTGTCATCAAGGCCTCTTCAACACAAGAGTGCGTTCACTTGAGCTCGCTGCACATAACCTGTGAACGTCTCAAATGAGAATCGTATTAGAAGTTCCCCGGTGCAAACAGCGGCGATGTTTTGCACAATCCTGAACAAGGATTAATATTCTCAACAGACCCGGAGTGTCGATCCCCTCTGCGTTAAGACGGAGGCCAAAAGAAAAAAAAATAAGAAATCGAATCAACGGATACTTCTTGATCGCCGTACAGAAAATATTTACTTTTTAAATTACAATCGCTAAGACTTTCGCTTACTTGAGCTAGAAGTATTGGACAAGCCCACCGTCAATTATTCTCTGTCAAAATCGTAATTTTCTGTGCGTGCATGCTACGGAAAAGTACAAAAAAACGACATATACCTACAAGGTTAAAACAAATTAAAAGTGTACTGACATCAACAGATGTGTGCGTACACAGTTGTAATGGAACACAGCAATAACAACAACAGCAACAACAAACAAACCAACAACCCCGCTTATGAGGCTTGTTTCGGTGACGTCAACTCAAACGCCTGGTTTTGGAGGAGTGCAAAAAATTCACATCGCGCTCAAAGTGTCCGCTCCTTGACACGGCGATTCACAGCGAACCCTGCGCGCCAGCCTCGTTCATCCCAACATCGGCCGTTGGTTTGGGATTTGAGCACGGTGACTAGGAGATGTTAACTACCTCGCTCGGTATACAGGAGGTCGTGGGGTCGATCCCGACCCTGACGATGCCTGTTGTACATTTGGAGTCTGCAAATTCTCTGGGTCCTCCGGTTTGCCCCTCCACATTTTGAACCAACGCGCGTTTAGAGCATTTGGCCGCTATACATTTACACCCGATAAGCCACTTCGTTTAGCCATCATTTGTGGCCAGGTCGCTTCCGAAATAGAGCTCTATAACTCACTGGGGGCCTTACCTGCTAAAATTGAAATATTAATCGTGAGTTAAGCTTGGAGAACGCGCTGCCCACAAGTTCCTTGGGGGAGGGAACCAACTTGTCCCACAGTTTGCCAAGTCCAACTCGTACGTCTCAACTCCGCAGGCGGATGTACGTGCGCGTGTGTGAGCACGTGCACTGAGGCCTGGCCACACGCACCGTGGTGGCGAACGGCGGGCGTTGTTGTCGTCGTGTGTGCGTCTCTGCGTGCGTCTCTGCGTAGGAGCGGTAGTGTAGCGGTTAGCGCGCTATGAACCTGGCGACCCGGGTTCGATTCCCGCTCACGGCTAACACCAGTGACGATTATCTGAACCGGTCCTGGGCCTCCCCTAGGTCGACTCAGCCTTAAATGAGTACCTGGTGCGGTGTGTAAACATCGCCACTGGGGAGACAAAGGCGGTCGGGCGTGGTGCTGGTCACCCACCCCCTCGTTCGTGTACCGTTCTGGCCTTCATAGGTGCTCGCTAACAGCACTTGCCCCTACAGTCTGTTAAGGCTATGCGGGGGGTCTTTGTTGTCTCTGCGTGTGACTTTAGTGGGGAGCATTTGTGGGTCGCGGTTAGCGCGCTGCGCTACGAACCCGGCGACCCAAGTTCCACTCCCGCTCACGGCCAACACCGGTGACGATTACCTGAACCGTGCCCTGGGCCTCCCCTAGGTCGAGTCAGCCTCAAATGAGTGCCTGGTGCGGTGTGTAAACATCGCCACTGGGGAGACAAAGGCGGTCGGGCATGGTGCTGGCCACCCACCCCCTGGCCTGGGACTGTTGTTGTTGTTGATGTGCTGCCTTGTCCAAGCTTGCATTTATTGTTGAAAAATCGGCAGAAATTTATATTATTTTGTAATTGTACTTTCCACTTTAACTGCATTACGGATTTATGTTTCGTTATTTTCTTGCCTTTCCTATACTTTGCACTCCAATCGTTTTTTTTTTGTATCGTCTGTTGTTGTAACTTTCTCACCCACCACAACTGGGCATCTGTGAAAAAGAGCTTTATAGCTCATCGGATTTCTCCAGGATAAATAAAGACTGAATAAAATATTCTGAATATTTTCCTGAGCTCAGCCCGGGACGGCTCCAGCCGAAACAGTACATCATAAACGTAGCACAATCTCTCTGCGATGGACACCACCGCGCACAGCATTCTTGATCGGGTACTTGGAACTGGGCATATATACACCGCAAGCGGTAGATTCTTTAGTTCAGAGTTATCCCCCCCAATTATAGCACACTGGCGTGTGTACGCCACTCTGTTTCACGTGCGGCTAAATAAAATCTCGGCACTCGCATTAAAAGCAGACTTGCTGCCGTCCTAAGCCACGGGAAAGATGCAGCTCCTTAAACTTTTTAGTTGTGCATCGTATTGCACACTTTAATTATTTTGTACACCCTGCAGTAAATTGTATACTCTGCGAGGCCATGTTACAGGTATTCATGCTTAAATGTTTTCTAAATCAATGTGGAAACACGTGGAAGATTTTGGGAATTTCATGGCAGGCGAGATAGGCTAAGCATCTTATACAAGTCGAGAATTTGAGCATGGCAAGTTTTGCATTATGCATGTAATTGGAGAGAGGAGGTAGTGATGGGTGGGACACGTGGTGTGCACGGTGGAGGAGGTGGGCTAGGGTAAGCAACTTGGGAGGTTCGGAATAGAATGTGGTAGGAAAGTGTGTTCAAGAGAGGGGGGGAGGTTGTGATGGGTGGGACAAGTGGTGTGCAGGAGGTGGTGGTGGGTGGGACGAGTGGTGTGCAGGGTGGAGGAGGAGGTAGTGATGGGTAGGACGAGTGGTGTGCAGGGTGCAGGAGGTGGTGATGGGTGGGACGAGTGGTGTGCAGGGTGGAGGAGGTGGTGGGTGGGACGCGTGGTGTGCAGGGTGGTGGAGATGGGTGGGACGAGTGGTGTGCAGGGTGGAAGAGGTGGTGATGGGTGGGACGAGTGGTGTGCAGGGTGGAGGAGGTGGTGATAGGTGGGACGAGTGGTGTGCAGGGTGGAGGGCAGAGGTCAGAGACCAAGGGGAAGAACTCGAGGCAGAATATGTTGGCGATGAGACTGTAAGAACCGTCCTTGTAGGACACGTTGACTGTAGCAGAGCAAATGTTTAACCATGGATGGTGGTGATGGCACTTTCAGATTGTGTAAAATGTGTAACAGGGGGAATATCTTTGATTCAAACTTTCATTATTATTACGCTTGTTTACCCACCGAATATCTAAATTCTTTGTCACGTCTAAAAATGGATTTGGTGATTAACTTAACGCATTGGAAGGCAATATTCAGGTACCTATTTAAGAAACCCCATCAAGTGACGCAGTTATTCTAGCTTTCTCCCATCTTGTCCTGTTTGGCGTAGTTTCAAACAAAACGCAGAATCTAGTTAATGATAATTTAATCTTACATAGCATCATGCATGCGAATTGCATCCCACAATCGCTTTGTGCTTCAACTTATCGGTGTGAGCCAAAACAACAACAATTGGCGCGCTAAGCAACCCGTTCACGTGACAATTAATCCTGTTGGGCTGCAGTCGGGTGGCAGAGGGTCTTGACGACACAAATTTGGTCAGATCGTTGCCGCGGCCGAACCAATTACGAATCGCTGATGGTGGACGAGGTGACTGCGGGACGTAATCAACCGTGTACAAAGAAGAAGAAGACGTAAAAACAAAAAATCACGGCATTGACGAGCCTTGCAAGAGCAGACGTGAAAGAATGCTCGTCGACGGCGCAAGAAGAAACGACAAAGCGACGGTGCGGTGGGGCGCCACCAACTCCACCGGACCGCCCCTCGGCTACGACCACCGCCACCAGCGGCGCCTCTCGCCGCCGCGTGCGGTCGAGACGCGGCTCAAGGCTCGGCGGCCTCGCTTCCGCGGTGCCGGCGGAACGGCGCCGCGTTCACGCTGAGCGCGTGCACGCGCCGCGTGAACTCGTCGAGCTCCGAGTGCACGAGCGCCAGCTCCTCGGCGTCCAGCGCGCCAAGCACCGTCTCGTCGCTGTCCGCCTCCACCGCCGCCTCCACCTCCTCCGCGCCGCCGCCGCCGTGCGGCCCGACGGCCCACGCTCCCTCTGCCTGGCCCGTCGCCACAAACTCCTGCACCCGCTGCGACGCCGGGTGGTGGTAGTAAAGCCGCGGTTTCGGGAACGTCTTGTCCCGCGCGCTTTCCGTATCCGGGCTGCCGAGTCGAGCCGTCGACGACGAAACGTTTCCGCTGCTTCCTGTCGCCGCTGCTGCTGCTGCTGCTGCTGGCGTTGCGGGCCCTGCTGCTGTGTCCGATGCTGACGGGGCCACTGTTGAGGCCGCTGTCGTCACCGCTGCCGTCACTGCTGGTGGTGGTGTGTCAGCCTCATCCGCTGGGTGTAACCGCGTGGCGGGTGCAGCGTGTGCATCGGCGGAGCCTCCGTTGAGGGCGCCCGTTGGTCGGTCAGCCGAGGGTTTGTCGGCTTCCGTCAAAGTCTTGATCCACTCCACCATGCCTCGGTCAGACTTCTTTGGAGTGGCAGCGGTGGCGGTGGTGGCGGCGGAGCCCGAAGTCCCTCCTTCCTTCTCACCGTTGACACCGAGGGGAGCGCTGATGGACAGGACGTGCTGCCGGGCTCCGCCGCCGGATTCCGGGGAGGCCACCGAGGAGCCCTGGGGCACCGAGGGCCGCAGCCGGCTCCTGGTGACGGCACAAAGACAAGACGGCGTCGGCTGCTGCTACTGCTGCTACTGCTGCTGCTGCTACTACTGCTGCTGCTGCGAGTGTTTCCCTTCCGGGTGGCCTCAGCTCGGCTCTCTCTCTCTCGAGTCTTGGGTGTTTTCGCTTTTCCACAGCTATCCTAAACGCACCGCTAATTAGTTTTTTTTATTTTGGTGAATTTGTTGTTAACCGTCCCAAGCTGGAGGGCGGCAGCGGTGCTGCTGGAGGTGACGGTGCGAGTGGTGGTCGTGCTGGTGGTGGTGGTGACGTTGATGATTGTACTGGTGGTGCTAGTTATTATGATAACAGCACTTGCTCCAACAGTCTGTCAAATGCGATATGGGGATCTTTGTCTTTTTGCTCATAGTTCTGGTGGTGCTAGTGGATGGCAGTGACAGTTGTGGTGTTATTGGTTGTAAGCGACAGTGGTTGGGGTGATGCTGGTGGTATAGGGAGCGTTGGTGCAGTAGGTAGTGCACTGCGCTATGAACCTGGTGACCCAAATTCAATTCCCGCTCACGGCCAAGATAAGCAATGGTTATCTGAATCGGTCTTGGGCCTCCCCTAGGTCGACTCAGCCTCAAGTGAGTACTTGGTGCGGTGTGTAAACATCGCCACTGGGGAGACAAAGGCGGTCGGGCGTGATGCTGCCCACCCACCCCCTCGCGTGCTGTGCCAGCCTTCATAGGTGCTCGCTAACAGCACTTGCCTCAACAGTCCCTTAAGGCTATACGGGGGATCTTTGTCTTTGATGCTGGTGGTGATTGGACTAGTGGTGGTAATGCTACTGGTTGTGGCCCTGCTGGTGGTGGTGCTCGTGGCGGTGGTGCTAGTGGTGGTGATGCTAGTGGTGGGGCTGGTGGTGGTGCTTGTGGTGGTGATGCTAGTGGTGGTGATGCTAGTGGTGGTGGTGCTAGTGGTGGTGGTGCTAGTGGTGGTGATGCTAGTGGTGGTGATGCTAGTGGTGGGGCTGGTGGTGGTGCTTGTGGTGGTGATGCTAGTGGTGGTGATGCTAGTGGTGGTGGTGCTAGTGGTGCTAGTGGTGGTGATGCTAGTGGTGGTGGTGCTAGCGGTGGTGCTAGTGGTGGTGGCGGCGAGGTCTGCGTGTGGTGACGAAGGGGCGCGCTACGTACGCGGGCACCCCGAGCTTGCTCTCGAGCAGATCCCGCAGGTTGTAGAGGGTCCGCCTCAAGTCGGGGGTGCTGAGGCTACAGTAGTAACGCAGCTGGCACAGAGAGACGCACACAATCGCTCCGTCACTCTCGACGCAGAGGGGAACGGCTGTCCCAACAGCCGCTGGATTAACCTAGCCGTGCTCACGGACGTCGAGCTTCTTTCGTACCGTACGTAGCCAACCGCGCTAATTGGAGGTGCCGGGGGGGGAGGGGGGGGGGAGGACAACAAACTAACACACACAAAAAGCGGTTTCAAACAAGTGAGTTTTGCCATCTAGATTTAAAGTGCATAGCTCCAGTGGCTTCCTAATGTCGGAAGGAAGAGCGTTCCAGACGGCCGCAGAAAGCGCGTCTGAAAGCGCACGATGCGGTCGACCACGGTTCTGGCAACGGTAAGAACGATGCGGTGACGAAGAGAGCGAATTGGTTCGAGGCACCGGAGTGACCGTGCAAGACTTGCGCTCCGCGTGCTTGCCACTGAGCACTCTTGAATGGAGTCCGTACTTGGGTTCCTGCTCAAGCCATCGCCCGGGAAGTTTCACCGCAGGAAATGACCAAAGCGTGCACATCGTTAAAGACTCCGCGACGCCATCGTTAGCACCGATAGGTTCCCCGTGGCCTAACGCCGGCCAAACAGGAGTTGCGCGTGCCGTGCCGTCTGTGCGTCCGCGCAAAACATCAGTGAAATCCCGCTGGAATCGACGACCGATCCCTGCCTTTTGTTACCGATAAATATAATCTATCCTGAAAACGGTTGGCGTTTTACTTTCGTTTAGCAACCCTTGAGCATGGCGCAGGATGCTAACTGCTGTGCCACGTTGCCCCCCAAGGCATTATGAATCATCAACCATAATCTATCCACTGCTGGATGAAGGCCTTCCCAAGCCATTGTCATCTCAAAAAAGTCTTGCGATGACGTGTGGTGTCCTTTTGGCTGCCACTCCATAATTCGTTCTCATGACTAGCCGTCAAACCTCATAATGCCGCGTCAAACCCAAGTCCCGCTCGTTTTTCCCAACATGCAAATGACCACAACGGGACATGCACGGGTGGCATTGGAGCACCGTGCGAGCAGCCTCTCTGCTCGACATCTCTCAGCAAACAAAAACAAGAGACGGTGAGGTTTTGGGGAGGCGTTTCTGGGGGGTGTCGGGAGGCATGTGGTGTCGTCTCCGCATTCACCAGGGGGTTGCCTCTTTCCCACACACAAAGGCCCCCCCCCCGCCCCCTTTATCGCACGTTCCTCAAGATCTCAGGACAGAGAGGGGCCCGAGCGTAAATAGCGATCGATGATTAAGCGTGGCGGTCCGGCCGCGAGCAACAAAAAACCCAGGTCGATTTACGACTTCTTCCACTCTTCGTGTGGGTGGACGACCGGGGTGAGTTGGAGGGTCGGATCGCGAGGGCGGGGGGAGGAGGAGGGGGAGGGGGATGACGCGGGGGGGGGGGGGGAGGTTGAATTTATCTGAATGAGAATGACGGCGGTCGAGTCGAGGCGATGGGGGATTTGGCGCGCGGCAAAAAAAAAGAACACAAAACAAAAACAACCGCACACAGCAACGCCGCCCCTCCACCGCCCCTCCCCCGTCCACCGACGCAAAAACCGAGTGGCCACCGGCCAATTCAAACATCTCCTCGTGCTGCCCAATTGCCCTCGGACCACAACGAGTGTGACAATGTCTCTCACCTCAACAGCTAAGCTGGATGCGGCCCTGGCTAGCGGTTTGGAGGTGAGAGCAATACAAGTAAAATAAATAATATTTGTGTTTAACCCACAATCCCCGTGTGCGTGCATGCGCGCATGTGCGAGTGTGTGCGTGTGTGCGCGTGTGTGTGTGCGCATGTGCGTGCGTGTGTGCATGCGTGCGCGCTTGTGTGTGCGTGTGTGCGTGTGTGCATGTGTGCATGTGTGCGTGCGTGTGTGTGCGTGCGTGCGCTGTCCTTTTGGACACTTCCTCTGCTTGGCTGCCACGCCATGGCAGCGGTTGGCTGTGGTGATGCTCTCCGCCAGGCCTTCATTGTAGCAGCTGCGCTGTGCTCTAGCCGGCCAGGTAGCTCAGCGTAGAGTGAGACGCTCACTGGTGGTTGATTCGGACCATAATCCCTCTGGGGTCGATAAAACGTTTACCACTTTGTGGAAAAAATCAAGCGTGGTTGCCCTAAGGATAGACCCCCCCCACCCCCGCCAAAGGAATGTGGAATTTCCACCACTGGTTCAGGGACTGTCAGCATGAGATAAGCACCGCCTCTGTTCATTTGAGCAGAAAATCGCTCTGACGTTTTTGGGCTGCGGACCATTTAGATGACGGTCTAACGCCGACGTTTTGACTCTGCTGTGGAAATTAAACTGCCTTGTCACGAATGGATTCATTATTTATGATTTACACAAGGTATACACAACGCATAAGAACCCCTGAGGCTAGCGAAGTTTAAGAGACGACGCATACGAGACAGAACATGGGGAAAAGAATTACCTATTATTATTTTTCATCTCTCTTTTTCTTCTTCTCTGTTCATGAAAAGCACGATGTTAGCACTCCAATGAGTGAGCATGGAAATATCTTTCGGGCCTCCAATCCGGGTGACACCGTTTCAATTGGCAGCGGGTAACAGCAATCTGCCGAAACCTTGGCACGTGACGATACCTTGATTGAAATGTACGCTCGAATAGAATTGCGCATGCGACAGCTGATCGCGTACGATGCGGCGTGCATATACTACGCCGGCACAGCCACGACAGATTCGAAAAGTGTCACGCATGCGCCCAGTTTACTAATCTATTTTTGGGATCGAATCACGCACACTCCGAATTGTGCAAACTCATCAGACCGCGCAAAAGGGGCGAACTGTTACATTCCCGCCGACAAACGGTGCAAACGTCCGTCTTAGCACCGCTGAGATTTGCGCATACAGTAAAACTTTGGATTGCGAGCATAATTCATTCCTGAAACGTGTTTGTAATCCAAAGCACTCGTATATCAGTTGTGATCACGTGACGCTCAGCAGACAAAGCGTATACGCGTACTACTCGTATTGCAAGACCTCGCTCGTTTATCAAATTAATATTTATTTAAAAAATTTGCTCGTCTTGCAAAACACTCGCAGACCAAGTTACTCGCAATCCAAGGTTTTACTGTACACAGTTTACGCGACATTTCACAACGCTCCGAAATCCGTCTTATTCTGTTTACGGGAGACGCAATAACAACGAGGAGAAATCTCATGGGACCTCCTTTGCCAGTACCAAAATATACTAATAGGGTTTTGCCCCTTTTTTCTGGCAACAAAACTGACACCTTTTGCAAGCAATCATGCTTACATTAACCACAACACTTGCAGTCAAATGCAAACAAAAAATTATCAGAGTATTGTTTTTTGTTTGCATTTGACTGCAACTATTGTGGTTAATGCAAGCATGATTCCTTGCAAAAGGTGTCAATTTTGTTGCCAAAAAAAAGGGGAAAAACCCTATTAGTATAACGAGGAGAAAGATAAAAAAAAAGAATGCGCGCGCGCACGCCCCAAAGAGCGACCGCGCTTGCACATCGCGATGCGGCTACGGGTTTGGAATCGCCAAGCTAATCCCACGCCAGCGCCACGCGAACCTTAACGCATCAACAAGCCCCTTTGCCAATGTGACGGGGGCCCCACTGGAGCGCACAGATCCCAGTGATTTTATGGCTGCGGGGCGGAGCGGGGGACGGGGGGGTGGGACGGCACGCAGCTGAGATAGGATTTTGTGTTTTGAACTTTATGCCAGATTTACAATTGCTTCTTGGCCAGGGGTCTGTGCATGTGTTCCTTGCGTGCGTGCGAGCGTGCGCATGGACGTGAGCCTTAATAGGTGCTTCCTAACATCACTTGCCTATGAGCTACAAAGCTCAGCGGATGAAATGTTGCAATTGACTTGCTACCTCACAACCCCACAGGATTTTAGGACTTGTATCGATTCAGGTCCGCGAATTTATATTTATTTTTTTCTTCAAAAGTGGTCAATGTAGCAGCCCTATTGGATGGAGGAGTTAAGTGAACCCGTTGCATTCTACATTTATGCATACTTAAAAACATCGAATCTTACACAAGCGACCGAGTGGTGAGCGTGCGTGTGAGCGAGTGCATGTGCATGGTGAGCGAGCGAGTGCGCGTGTGTGGTGAGCGTGTGCGAGCGAGTGTGTGGTGAGCGTGTGTGCGAGCGAGTGCGTGAGTGTGATGAGTGCGGTGAGCGTGCGTGCGTGCGAGCGAGTGCATGAGCTTGGTGAGCGAGCGAGTGCGCGCGTGCGTGGTGAGCGTGTGTGCGAGCAAGTGCGTGGTGAGCGTGGGGAGCGTGTGTGCAAGCGAGCGTGTGGTGAGCGTGTGGTGAGCGTGTGGTGAGCGTGCGTGCAAGCGAGCGCGTGAGCTTGGTGAGCGAGCGAGTGCGCGTGTGTGGTGAGCGTGTGTGCGAGCGAGTGCGTGGTGAGCATGGTGAGCGTGTGTGCGAGCGAGTGCGTGAGTGTGATGAGTGCGGTGAGCGTGCGTGCGAGCGAGTGCGTGCATGGTGAGCGAGCGAGTGCGCGTGTGTGGTGAGCGTGTGTGCGAGCAAGTGTGTGGTGAGCGTGTGTGCAAGCGAGTGCGTGATGAGTGCGGTGAGCGTGCGTGCGTGCGAGCGAGTGCCTGAGCTTGGTGAGCGAGCGAGTGCGCGTGTGTGGTGAGCGTGTGTTCGAGCGAGTGCGTGGTGATAGTGGTGAGCGTGTGTGCGAGCGAGTGCGTGAGTGTGATGAGTGCGGTGAACGTGCTTGCGAGCGAGTGCGTGGTGAGCGCGTATGCGAGCGCGCTCGCGTTCCGTCGCATGTGTTTCACATTGTCCCTGCATGGGGTCGGTTGAACAAACACCGAGTGGGGAAGGGGAGGCAAGGAGGAGATGTGGACCGAGTGGGTTCAATGAACGTATGGGATCCAAATCATGAATCCCCAATTGAGAAAGATGAGTGTGATTCACTCCGAAACTATTTGATAAGTTCACAAAGGTTTGCGGCATCGAAATCGAACGCACACTTGCAAGATCAATCGTGCT